GTATGTGTATGTGTATGTGTATGTGTATGTGTATGTATATGTATGTGTGTGTGTGTGTGTCTGTGTGTGTGCATGTGTGTATTCATGATATAAATGAAAGCTTTTCATGTTACCTTTTATCATATCAGTTTAGACAGGCTATGCTTAGTAAAAGCATTAGTAATCTTAATTGATCAATGATCTTTTTCTTTAAATTTCTGACAGAAGATTAAAATAAAATAGAAATCTTTATCCGATTCAGATTCCTGTTACCTCTGCCTTCCTTTTATAACATTGTTAATTTACTTGGAACATTCAGCATCAAGACATTTAACTTCGAGCAAGAAATATTCAATAATACACCTCAGTATATGAACCAACAATTTCACATGAATTCCTTGTACTCAGTATAAGTATACTACTGAAACATGCTTAGATCTTAAAAGAGTACCTTACTGTGATAAACTTCTCAAAAAAATCCTCCCAAATGAGCACTTACTGATCATTTTGTCAATACATTCACAAAAATCTGAAGTGGGAGGGGAGGGGAGTGGGTGGACAAGGAAATGCATTGGAGAGAGGGCAAGCTTGTGCTCTTACCGGCATAGTACGTATGGGCCCAAACTTGTGGTTACTTACAGCTTTCCGAACTTGTTCATCCTTTGCAAATGACAGTGTACCTAACAGGGCCTGACCTGGGGTTAGTCCGAGACCCTTCAGTGTCCTGTTGGGAAAAACAATGCAATTTAAGTTACTTAAGATACTTTCTGCAAATTTTGTCAACAGTTATTATTTAGGTGACTTGCTTGTCCAATATTACTCTCTGGAAGAAACAGAAGCTGCTTCAGAAAAACAAGATCCACAAATAAGAAAAACATTTCAACAAATGAAAGCCCTTTGTTTATGAATCATTACACAAGCAAAGAGTTGACAGTACTGTCGTGACTGAAGAGTATATGGATAAGAATATACATTGTCAAGAAATGGGAGGAGCAATCTCCCAATGTGACAGAGGAGGGAAGCCAATGTTGCACCTGGAGACCACTTTTATTCCAGCAATTACTAGGCTGAATGGAAATGTATAAAGATGCAATCATATGAACAATGTGTTTATCAAAGTATAAAGGACACATGTATGGTAAAATCTGTCCACTTGGCAGCCTGCTAATATCTTTTTCTGCACAGAGTTCAGGGCTAGATCCTCCCCCAAATGCTATGTAGCCAATCAAGGCCTACTTTCCACTTATGATGCTTCAGCAGATTTAAATCAATGGGAGCCTGAATTTACTAACTGATTATTATTTTTACACTTTCACATACGCTGAACCATCTTCTCATATTGAAACATAATGTATGTATCTATACATACTTTTTTTACATCCCCCAATGGACATTAGTGACAAAGAAATACATAGCATTTAATGTAGACAACTGCTTTTAACATGTGATTATCAAAATGTATAAAAAAATCATTAGTGAAAATTGTGGCCCTGTTGAGTTATTTAACATTTGGGGGAAGGGCATTCATGAACAGGCTGATTAATGTGAAAGGATTACATTGTTCACTGATTGTATGTAGCCCCTTTTCAGAAATGCTTTGCACTTTAAAAAATGCAGTTCATGCTGCCCTTTTTTGAATCAAGCTCTTAACTCCTACAATCTGAGTGACATGACCATAAGCTCTTGATAGGTGACTACTAATTTGGCACTTAGGAAGTAGCTTTTACAGTATTTCCATTGATAAACAAGTATGGAATGTACAAACCATGAGCCATGACTGGAAAAGTGCCAGCTCCAGGAAAGATGCTATTTTCATGCTCAGGTTCCTACTCCTGGCTGTCATGACCAACAGTGCATACTGTATTTCAGAAAATTGAATATCATGAAAAATAAATAAATATGAAACAAATAACAAAACTTTATTGTTGTTATTATTATTGAACTGAGCTACAGACTATCAAATGACAAATAGAGACAATAGAAAATGGCCAAAAAGCTAAAAATGCTTATGCAGAAAAAGAGAAAATAACAATACAAATGGGAGGCATAAAGTCTTGTTCAAGTGTGCTCAGACTACCTGTGAGTGGCCTCTCAGAAAGCCTGATGCATGTATCTTGGGCCACATGATGGCGTTTAAGCATCTGGATCCAACGGGTTAATATCATAAGGTACTTTAACAATTGGCAAATTAATCTGATAATCTATTACTTGGAAAACTTATAAATATAATTTAATCAATGAATCCCCATTCATAATTTGCACCACCATGGTTGTCCATCCCTCAGGCCAGAATTATTATTATTGTGTCACATGTGGTTGAGCTTACTCTGAGTTGTACTCCATAAACAGTTGTTTGCTTGCCTTGTGCTTTTTTGGCCCTGGCTGCTTATTTAGGAGAACATCCCCTCATAAGATTTTTACCCCTTTACCTTTAACCCATTATTCAAGCAGCTAACTCCTTGTGCATTCTGATGGACACCTATTATAATCTTAAATAAACTTACTTGTCTGTGAGGCTGGG